GAACTTGTTAAATAGAATCATGGTAAACCTTAGAGGGAGTTAATTAGTATAAAAAAGATTTAGAATCTTATAGTTATAATCCCATAGTACAGACTTGATAATTATGTTATTAAGTAACTCTATCATATATATAATAATGTAGTTTTCTATTGCCCTATCTTTGACTTCTGTTGTATCCAGACTGGTTTTAAACCCATCTAAAAGATTTATTAATTTTAGATACATTTTTCAATTCTAGATGTTCATTTGATTCATTTTTATAAATACCAATTCTGTATTGAAAGTCTTCATTTTTAAATCCATATTGTTTATCTTTTTCTCTATTTTCTTTAATACATTAATCATAGTTATTTTAAAGTCCTTGTCTGCTAACTTCATTATCCAGATCAGCTAAAAGTCTGCTTGTATTGTTTTTCCCTTGATTGTTAATTACACTTTTTTCTCCTCCAATGTCTACTAATTGTTTATTGCATGCCAGACATCATGTATAAAAGACCCATAGAAGCTCCATTTGATATTGTCCATCAGAAAAGGTTTTTTCTCTAGGCAGACAGGATCAGGGGCTTATCCTTTTAGTCCAGTCTGGATTGGGTTGGGCTAAGGCTGGATTGTAGCTTTTGTAAGATTTAGTCTTATACTACAGGCATAGTCTTTCAGGCTTTTGATTGGGAACTTGATAAGTCTAACTCCACATCTCTGACAGACTGCTGAAGAGTCACTTGGACCCTTCAGAAGTTTTGAGCTTAGCTTGGTAACCTGTAGCCCCCTTACAGCCTCAAAATCTAGCAGATGTCTTGAGAGGGAGATTGGTTGAGTGTTCAAAAGAGGACATTCTCCCTTTAGCGGGACTTTGTCTCCTAAACACTGAGATGAGATTATAGGAGATTTCACTCTGCTTTTTAGAAGCCTGGTTCTGACTCTCTAGCTTCCCATATGTAGCCCCAGAACAAAACCAGTCATGTTTAGAGCTTCTCAGATTCCAATCTGTCACACATTTCTCTTTTCCTAAGTAGAGTCCTTCTGCATGGGCCAAACTCTAGTCTTGTCTGCACAGAATGAGAAAATGCCCTCAAGGAATAAAATGGCTAGGGATCCTCCGCATATTCTTGTAGCCTAGAATTAATATTCATCTAGTCCTCATTGATTGCATAGCTCTCTGATGTCCTCAGGATTTTTTGTTTTGGTCAGTTACCTGGGTTTTTCCAGTTATAGCAAAAGTACAGCCATGCTGTGACCTACTACATCCTGTTTAAAAGTGGAAGACAGGCCAGGCACGGTGGCTCACGCCCGTAATCCTAGCACTCTGGGAGGCCGAGGCGGGTGGATCGCTCAAGGTCAGGAGTTCGAGACCAGCCTGAACAAGAGTGAGACCCCATCTCTACTAAAAATAGAAAGAAATGATCTGGACAAGTAAAAATATAAATATATAGAAAAAATTAGCCGGGCATGGTGGCACATGCCTGTAGTCCCAGCTACTCGGGAGGCTGAGGCAGAAGGACTGCTTGAGCCCAGGAGTTTGAGATTGCTGTGAGCTAGGCTGACACCACGGCACTCACTCTAGCCCAGGCAACAAAGCGAGACTCTATCTCAAAAAAAAATAAAAATAAAGTTGAAGACATAATGTAAAATTAAAAGAAAAATTTTTTGGAGTTTTTTTTCCCCCCAAGGATTTTATATTTATACCCCTTAAATGAAAAACATTCCAAAGTGACAAGTTTCATGGAAAATATTATTGCCTTTATGTCATTGACAAAGTCTAGAAGGTGTTTTGGAATAGCTTTGGATATCATTTCCAGACCAGCAGCTATTCCAGTTAGCTCTGTTCTCTTCACTGACAAGACCCATTTGGTTGACACTCATCTGTGAAAACTTACATATTAATGACTAGAAAAGATTTCTGTCAAAAGGCAAATATAGTGATAATACTTAGCTTTTATTTTTCCTGCTTGAGAAACTAAGAAATTCCAAAGATGTAAAGATCTTTTCTTACATTTACCATGAAACTTCAGAAAATTAGATTTCTTTATTAATCATAGCAGCAGCCTGGTACACAATCTTGAGTCACATCATTTTTGTAAGAGGGGCCTCCTGTCTGTCGTGTGAGAGCGTGTGTGTGTGTGTGTGTGTGTGTGTGTGTGTATGTGTGTGTGTGTTATGTGTGTGTTTTCTAATCTAATTTGCTTGGACATAAAAAGCTTTCACCCAAAGGAGATGGCAGGGAAACTGGAGATAACTAAGTTATGTTTAAGAACAAGTGTTTAGGCCAAGCGTGGTGGCTCATACCTCTAATCCCCACATTTTAGGAGTCTGAGCGGGAAGGATCACCTGAGCCCAGGAGTTCGAGGCTGCAGTGAGCTATAATCATGCCATTGCACTCCAGCCTGGGTGACAGAGTGGGACCCTGTCTCAAAAAAAATAAAAAATAAAAAATTAGCCAGGCTTGGTGGCCTGTGCCTATAGTGCTGGCTACTCCAGAGGTTGAGGCAGGAGGGTTGCTTGAGCCCAGGAGTCTGAGGTTGCAGTGAGCTGTGATTGTGCCATTGCGCTCCGCTGTGAGCAACACAGTGGGACCCTGTCTCCAAAAAATAAAAAAGAAGAAGTGTTTAACTGAGAAAATTAAATCTAATCTGTGATACATTTATCTGCCCTCTAAATGTAATTATAAAACCCAGAAGGTTTGGAAATTGATAGTCTTTTTATAACTTATTTGGGGGCAAACGTGACCTGAATGGATGAGAAGCTTATTTATATTTTTTGTTTATCCCATTTAGTGTGAATATTCATATATGTTGCTGCAAAAATTGTATTAGATTAGAGGATGCTGCTGTAAACCCCTTCTGGAGGTGTTACAAAATATATGATATGTGCACTGCACATTAACTTTTTAAAATACAAAAAGTTCTGAAATTTGAAACCCTCCAAGAGATTTTGACCCTCTATTTAACTTCCATAATATTTAGTTTTCTTATCTGTAGAGATGTTAAAATCTATCCCAGTATGTCTTAATAAGAATTATATTATATGAAATAATTAACATATGTAAGCATTTGAGATACCCGGTATATAGTAAGTATTCAGTTTGTTGGGATTGTTTTTATCATTATCTTGGAATTTGTATTCAGCTATGCAAAGTTTGGATCCTAAAGCTAGAATATACTTCACCTGTAAGTTAGAATTGTGAAGAAATTATGACATTCTTTTGAAACATTTAAAACATTTCCAAGAGCAGATAGGACCAATAATGTATTTAATTTAGGGCATTACATTTTTTTAAGGGCCTGACATTTATCCTTGCCCCAAATATTATAGTAAAAATCAAGTGGGGTAGGATAATTTTGTCAGTTATTTTTTTAAAAATGTATACATTCAGAGTTTGACTGTTAGAAATTATTTGCAACAGGACTGTGGGGAGGGAACACAGTAAGAAAGTTTCACGTTGTTCCCACCTGCCCCCCAACCTGCCACGGCTAAAGCCTCCCTACCAGATAAAAAAGGGACACAGAGTTGATTCTCAACTGGGTATTTCTAGAACATAAGCTGGAACACTGTCCCCAGCCATAAATCCATAAATTCAGTATAGGGAGGTAGGGCAAACAGGCAGGAATTTTGAATACAAATATCCCACTTGACTTAGGAATTTGGGGGGCAGGGAAGACACCCTGTATCTTTTTTTTTCTTTCTCTTCCTCCTCCGGACACCCTGCACCTTACTGGTTTCTCTTGAAAGAAAGGCACTCAGTTTGAAGGATTCAAAGGAGGATTTCTTCTTTTTGGGGGTCTCTTTGTGGTGCGGGGAGCCTCTTTTTGGGCCTCAGTGATCTGAGTGGGGTTTGCTGATTCAGTGTCATCCCCAGTGGCCTGTTTGTGGTTGGTGGGGCTGCTCTTTACCCTTTGAGGGACGTATTTCCAATGCTTTCTTCTCTTTTCGTGGGGCACTTGTAGTGGGGATGGGAGTGGGAGGTGGCACAGGTGGAAATTTTACCTGCTTCTTGGTGCTCACCTAGCTCTGAGGAGCCTTGGAGGTCTGTCTGCTCAAGCTGGTGTCTCTTGCAAGGGGACTTTTCAGAGGTAGAATATTATTTCTGACAGCCTTACAAATATACTTCTCTTTTAATACTTTACCACCTTTAAAAGAAGTTACTCAGAATAGTGGATTATTCCAACGTGGCTTATAGCTCAGAATATTGTTATGTGTTAATTTGGAAAGAATGTGGCTGGCATTCAGCACTTCTTTGAACCAGGGCATATTACTTATTGGCTGTATTGCTTGATTTTTCACATAATGTTACATCTCCATTTAAATCATAAATCTGAATTATGCTGTATTACTATAAAACCTACCAGTGTTCCCTAGAATAGCATGGCAATAATTTTTGTAAGAAAAAACAAGTAGTAACAATACATTGTTTCTATCATGAGAACAGGAAATAAAGATAATAACAAAACAAGCTTCCAGGATACATGAAGTCCTTATGACTAAAAATCATGTGTTGTACACATAGTTCATATTTTTAATTTTATTATAATAATTGGTCTTCCCTGTCATCCCCACAAGCATGTTACAAAGATAAATACATTCTCCTCTCAGCTCTCATTATTTTCAGCCTCAGAAATATGAAATGTTGATGTGTTGGGATTTAGGGAGTAGAAAACTACAAAAAATGAGTTTTCTATATCTGTTGGAAAACTGTATAGCTTTATAAATGAAATTTGCAGGGCACATAAATTGTAAATTACGTGGCTAGAGTTAGTGAGTGGTAACAGAGCTTGATAGGCCAGTGTTGGCAGAGCAGCGTGCAGCCCGGAAGCTGCTGCCCCACGTGGATGACAGTACTCGGTAAGGGGGTCAACCAGAGTGGGCACGCAGGTGTTGGCCAGGGGCTGGCCACATTTTGCAAACTTCTCTTCCCCTAAAAACAAACAAACAAACAAACAAACAAGCAAAGAACCTTTGTCTTTTGAATATTTCTCAGAATTCAGAAATTTTTTTTTTCTTTTCAGAAAACCGAAGAATGGGAAAAAAATAAGACTGAAGCAGACATGGAAGAGTATGTATGGAAAAATAGCTCCTCAGAAAAAAATATCCTGGAAACACTTCTGCAGATTAAAGCTGCCGAGAAAAAGACGGACGTAAATAAAGAAGAACTCCTTGGTACTAAAGAAGTTGAAGATTATAGAAACTGTGTTGTTACTCTTAAGAACGAGGGAGAAAATGAAAATACCCTTTCTCAGTACAAAGAATCAGTGAAGAGACTATTAAATTTGACATGAATTACAAAGTAGAAAAATCTGCTCTATTAATTTGATGATACATGTAATCAATATCTAATTGGATATAAAATTGAAAATGTTAAAAAAAATCATTGTCTTATATCAGAGTTAAAATTACTTTGTTTCATACTAATGCTCACTGGCAATAATTATTCCAAAGTTTTCTTATTTGTACACTGGCACAATTAGACTAATTAGATCTCTGATTTCTGATGGTGAAGTGTTTTGATTTTATTTCTACACAATAACCTTAGTATGCATATATACATATACTTAATTGCTGTTTTTTCACCTGCCACATTTCTTTCCCCACAAGCTGGCATTCAGCAGTTGCTTTTGAGTAATGATTTTCATTATTTGGGAAAGTAGGCCCAGAACCCAGACCCCTGACTTGCAGGTCAGTACTGGTTCACATGGCTGCTGTCTAGCCAATCCATTTTTCACAGTTGCCAATTCTGGTCAGAAACAGGTCCTCAGGAGTATTTTCTAACCTGAAATGTTTGTCCCATCCCTCCCTTTTGGGGGCACTTTATGTTGATGCAACTCTGTTGAACATTCTACTTTCTATATTGTGGGGCTCATTTTGCCAGGCGCAAGCTTGCAGAAGAGTAGAAGTGGAGATTAGCTGGTTTTCATCCCTTTGGATGCCCCAGTTAGAGCTGCCACAGCTCAGAAAGAAGTGACATATAGGACCTTGAATTTAATTGGAGTAAATGACAAAATAAGAACTACCCTAAGATATATTCCATTCAATTTCGCTGTCAGTTCAGTATTAAGTATACCTGTAAACTTTTTCTTACCACTTCCATAGCTGTTGACAAGTGATTAATTTAAAATCAAAATAAAGGAATTATTGAGCATTTATTTGCCTAACAGACTTATTTTGTCTAACAGAATTAGAGAATGTAAATAAAAGCCAAAAGGAATTTCAAAACAATTGCCTAAAACATTTGCATAAAATAAAAGTGGAGCTGGGCACAGTGGGTCCTGCCTATACTCCCAGCACCTCTGAAGGCTAAGGCAAGAGGATCACCTGAGGCCAGGAGTTCGAGACCAGCCTGGGCAAAATAGAGAGACACCCCGCCCCGTCTCAAAAAATTTAAAAAAAAAGAAGGTATGCTTTGGTATTAGTAAGGACAGGGCTCTAAAGGATATAAAGGACAACAGGGAAGAGACATATGTTGTGTTCCATTTGATGGAAATAGTGAATGAAAAGCAAAATAGGTAAAACAATTTTTAGATCATGTTTAGAACACACTTTAAGAAATACATCAGTTCATTTAGAGACTCATGTGGCGTTAAGGAAAACTCAGATGCAGAAACAGGATCGAAGACGGAAACATTTTGAAAAGAGTAGACGCTAAGAAGAGGTGTCACTTGGGAACATGTGAAGAAATGGTAGCTTAGGGTGGTCCATCCTGTGTAATAATACAGTGTAGATGAGGGCAGAGGGAGTAATGATCTGTAATAATGAATTTTACCAAAGAGAGGTCTGGCCTTAACCCTCTCTGATAGGAGTGTCTTTGTTTAGGGTGGGATCTGGCCCCAGAAGATGTGAGGACAGGGCCAGCCATGCCAGAAAAACCAGCCACGTGATTTAGCGTGAATGCTTTGGGTCACATGGTATCAGTCCACCTGGCAGCTGAGATCAACTACCCAGGCAGACCGTCGATCATACCTACATGAGGGAACCCAATAAAAGCTCTGAACACAAGCTCGGGCAAACTTCTCCGGTCGGCAGTACTCCATGCATATTGTCACACACTGATACGGGGAGCTAAGCATTTTGACCCTTCCTGGACTTCAACCTATGTGCTTCTTCCCTTGGGCGATTTTAATCTCTGTCCTTTCCCTGTAATAAACCATAATCATGAGAATAATAGTTTTCATTGAGTTCTTTGAGTTATTCTAGTGAATTTTTGAATCTGAGTGTGTTTTTGAGACAACCACCAAACTTACAGTCGATGTTAGAAGCGAGGGCAATCATGTAGAGCAGCGGTCCCCAACATTTTTGGCACCAGTTTCATGGAAGACAATTTTTCTACAGGCAGGTGGGGCAGCGGGAGGCGGAGCGCAGGTGGTGATGTGAGCCATGGGGAATGACTGTAAATACGGATGCTGCTTCTCACCCGCCACTCACCTGCTATGTGGCCCAGTTCCCAAGTTTTATGGAAGACAATTTTTCCACGGATGGGGGTGGTGGGGGGAAGTCTGTGGCCTGGTCCGCGGCCTGGGGGTTGGGGACCACAGATGTAGGACTGTGCCCTCTTGCAGTTTGCAACTCCAAGTGACTGACCTCAAGGCTCTGGGGTTGCAATCATTGATGCCTAATGGCAAAATCTTAGAGCTGAAAGATAAATACAAAACACCTCAAAAATATAACAGGTGCTGTCATTGTAATTTTACAAATAATAAAGCAGCACATTTTTTTTTAAGGCTGGTCTAGTGAAGCAGTGGGAGTGGAGAAGGAATGAAGGAATCCGTATCTGGTGTGATCAATTAGCTGTAAACACCACTGCACTCGGACCAACCAAGCAGCACTATTTGTCATTAATTAAATCCTTGTCCTTTAAAATTTTAATTGATCCAATGTATACAATGAACATCATCATGTTCATCCTTATAATGAGGATTCAGGGGACACTGCTGTGTTGATAATACAGATATTTCTGACTCCAGCCTCAAGTTGTATAGATCAGAAGTTGTTTAAACACTTAGGCAACTAAGACATAGATCAAATATCTGTCATTAATTGTAGGGTGCTTTAATTCTTTCTTTACAAAATTTTTTCCAATATTGGTATTTCATAATACTAGACAGTTATAGAGTTTTTATTGTTAGAAAGAAAGATTTAGCTAGTTACACTGTTGGAAAGATTTCATGGTTACTAAATGGGAGTAACTACCTTAGGTTTAGTTATTGACTGGGCCCTGAGATGTTTCATTGTTTTGTTTTGTTTTCTTTTGTTTTTAAAGAGATGGGGTCTAGCTCTGTTGCCCAGACTGGAGTTGAGCAGCACAATCATAGCTCGCTGCAGCTTCAAATTCTTGGGCTCAAGCAATCCTCCTGCCTCAGCCTCCCAAGTAGCTAGGACTACAGGTGTGAGCCACCCTGCCTGGCAATTGTTCCTTTTTTCTTCTTTCTTTCTTTTTTTTTTTTTTTTGAGACAGTCTCATTCTGTCACCTTGGGTAGAGTGCAGTGGTGTCATCGTAGCTCACTGCAACCTCAAACTCCTGGGTTCAAGCAACCCTCCTGACTCAGCCTCCCGAGTAGCTGGGACTACAGGCGTGCACTCCTGGCTAATTTTTCTATTTTTAGTAGAGACAGGTCTTGCTCTTGTTCAGGCTGGTCTCGAACTCCTGACCTCAAGCAGTCCTCCTGCCTTGGCCTCCCAGAGTGCTAGGATTACAGGAATGAGCCACTGGGCCAGGTCCTATTTCTTAATAAAATTTTATTCAGAAGTTCTCTTTGGTCCCTTAGGCTTCCAATAAAAGTGTAGTTTCTAGCCTCAGTTGTTTTTGCTTCTTGACTGACTGGTCTGTTGTCTCTCTAGTCCAAGTTTACTCAGTTTATCTGATAGTCAAAAGTAGGGTCTGAAGAAGAGAAGGAGTATGTTTGTTTTCTTACAAAGGTAAATATGTTTGCCCTAATTATGGTCATTTCTATGAAACTACCAACTTTAAGGAATGAGTAAAATTCTGAGAAACTCCAAGGAAGAAAAACTTTTTTTATCCTAGCAGCCCTAGTTTGTCGGAAGACCTCTAAACAATTCATATATACTTTAAAGAAAATAATTTTTTAAAATGTATGTACAAAAATTTATAAAGACAGCTTCCTGAATTATTTATTGAAATATAACTTGAAATTTTGATATCCCTCCCCCTAAAACAGCATGTTTTTTCCCTAATATATTAGGAAAGAAATTAATAAAATTTATGACATTTAAGATAACCATTAGCAATTTAGATAAATTGATTACATTTTTAAGTCAGATTTTTATCTGTGGTTGTTATCCTATTGATAGGAATTTTGTGTATTTCCCTTTATATTAAAGAAATAGACATTCTCTTTTTCTACCCAGTATCAATACTGGGGAAAGAAAAAGAAATACCTCCTAAGCCAATTTGCTTTAACATCTGAGGGGATAGTACTATTTTATAAGTCTCGTAGTAGGATTTCCCCTTATCTATTCCTTAGTCTTATTGACTGTCTTTTAATATCTGTTCTCAAATTAAAAACCGGTTTCAGGAAGGAGATGAAGAGCCTAAAGTTTAAGTTCTTTAGAGACTTGAATTACAGTATTCTACATGTAAGAAGCTAAGATTTAGGGTATAAATCTGGTGAAAGATTTGGACAGAGCTGAAATAACCTAGAGCTAATATTTATACCTGGGCAAACAGAATGTATACAAGTGATAGATATACACTAAAACTCCCAAGCTTTATTCAACAGAAATCAGTACAGAAAACTCAAAAGAGCTCAGTGCCAAAATTATTGAAAGGAGGATGAAGATGGATTGGGACTCAGAGATATTAATCAGCTGAACCTTGAAAGCTAGATAAAAATCAGGAAACATTTTCTTATGGGTTAGTAACGGTAATAATGCTCTTTTGCTCAAAGCACTAAGTGTTTTTATTAACATATGTGACAATAATTGGACTTTGGCTGGGAGACTAATGTGATGATGTTATGGTGTTTTCTTCCTAGAATTTTTTTTTTTATGCTTATTGGGAAAACAGAGGTTCTTAGTCTAACCGTGATTTTTGAGCATGGACTTTTGAATCAGATTGCCTATGTTTAAGTCCCGGCTTCACTATTTAATAGCTGTGTAACTTTAGGCAAAGTGCTTAACCTCTCTTCGCCTCAGTTTCCTCATCTGTAACATGTGATAATAGTATAATGGTTAATAATGGTATAGCTAACTCACAGAGTTGTAAGGATTCAGTAAGTTAATACCCCAAAGCACTGAGAACAAACAGTATCTCTCACTTGGCACTAAATAATGACTACAAGGGTGAGAATTTTGGAACTTTGGCAAAAGGAACACTACTCAAAAAAATGGAATAGAACTGGGTATGGTGGCTTATGCCTGTAATCCCAGCCACTCAGGAGGCTGAGGCAGGAAGATTGTTTAAAGCCAGGAGTTTGAGATCAGCCTGGACAACACAGCAAGACCCCAGTCTGTATAGATATTTTAAAAAATTAGCCAGGTGAGGTGGTGTGTGCCTGTAGTCCCAGCTACTCAGGAGGCTGAGACAGGAGGATCACTTGAGCCCAGGAGTTCGAGGCTGCAGTGAGCTGTGATTGCACCACTGCACTTCAGCCTAGGCAACAGAGGGAGACTCTGTCTCTTAAAAAATGAAAATGGAAATAATCATAAAAGCAGTTATGTTTATCAAGCATCAGTCTTTTTTAGAGATTGGCAGGAGTGGGTATCCTAATGTAGTTTTTTTTTAACCAAACTGCCCTTGTCTTGCAGAAAACTAGAAATGATAACCCTTGGAAGCTTACAATCTTTCTACAACTTTTAAGAGTTCTGCTTCAGAGTGTTACACTTTTTAATTTGCCTGGATCCTGACTTTCTCTGTCCTAGCTTATATTGGCCCTGCTGCTTTTGACAGCATCCAGAAGCAAGGATGGCCATATAACAGCAAAGCAAGATGATAGAGGTACAAAGGGCCGCCGGAACGAGCCAGGCCTTTGCAGTCACAGGTGCCCCATCAGGTGTCTCGTCTCCCTTCGCAGACGTGTGGTTTCTGCTGTCGTACCCCTTGGTTTTGTTCAGTAACTGTTTGCTACTGTTCAGTTGGGATGGGATAGGCTTATGAAAAAGTTTTGTGCCTATGGGCACAAAGAAAGGAGAAATAGTCTTGTTATCTGGATTGTTCATGAAATCAGTACTTGGCGATACCATATTTACCTTTGTGGTAACGGAGTCATTCAGGGAAGTGAATCTTGTCCAAAAATCTGTGGTTAACTCCTTGGAATAACTGGTATTGTTTGTATTTACAATCAAATCTTGATGCGTGGTTGATGATGGAGCCTCTACTGACGGCATCATGGGGTTTATCACGGTGGTTTGTTGTTTATCTAAATTCATAGCTTTTAGAATCCTTAGTCTGTCCCACCTATCAGATGAAGAGCGGGTATTTAGGTACGTAGAAGGTGATTGTCCAAAAACCAGCAAATCTGGATCCATACCTGAAAGATAAATAAAGCATCAATCATTTTATTTTTAATTTAGAAGAGAATATCTTAAAGCACAGTTTGGAGAAGTGTTGGATGTTGCCATTATGAGTTATTGAACTAAGCTGAATTCAAGTTCTGCCGCTGTAGACTTCCGAAAGGCTTAGAAACGTACTGGCTACATTTGAATTTATCTTAACTTTCTAGGGCACTTTCTGCTATGAACAAATGTGGCAGCACCCAAGCAGAAGGCTTTGTGTCTGTCAGGGCTTTTGCACAACAACAGGGAGTGTTAGTGTGAAAGCGGCAGAAACAGTAAACATTTGAGATACAATATCGCATTATTAAATAAAATTAAACAAAACAGGGCCTGAGAAGGGTACCTGTATTCAAAATCACAAACAAAGCCTTAAATCTCATCCCCTTTCAGTCCCCGAGGGTCCTGGTTTGTTTTTAGTATTTTCTCTCTTCTTGTATACTAAGTTCTTTCCCTTTGACTTCAGATGTGCACACAAACTGCTTTGTCTTTAAAGGGGAAGAAAGAAACCTCCCAACAGCTTTCCAGTGGTCCCTGCTGGCGACCATTTCTCTCTCTCTCTCTCTCTCTCTTCTTGCAAACATTCCCACATCCATTGCTTCTGAGGAATTGTTTCCCTATTTCCTGATCACTTGTGTCGCGTTGTTTTGGCTTCTTTCTTGTCCTGGATGCCTCTGGCCATCCTGTCCTTCAGATTCTTCTCCCAGGACTCCCTGGACCACAGACCCGCCCTGGCACTTTACCCCAGGTTGCCTGCCTCTCATTTTTACTTTCTTTTGCTGCTTCTATTCTTGCTCCTAACTGGTTGTGCTGTTTCCACAATCTTCAGTCCTTGGTCTTCAGCTGTATTTTCTCTTCACCGCCCCCTCTCCCTACACACACACAAAGAGATTGTCCTCAGCCGTCACCATGACATTAATGGCACTGAAATGCATATCGCCAATTTTTGCCCTCCTTCTTGAGCTCTGATCTCATTTCTCTGGTGCTCTATTGGAGAGTTCCACCTGGACATCTCACATCATCTCTAACTGAATATGCCCGAAGCCAAAATCATCACGTTGGCCTCCTGTCTCCTTCATTGGCATCACTGTTCTTCCATCGCCTGCCGGAATCTGTGCTGCAGAGTGATTTGGATTCCTCTCTCTCCTTCATTTCCTTCATTCAAAAGGTAACTAAGTCCTACTCTTGCTTTCTTCCCAGTATTCTGGTAATTGTCCCTCCCCTCCATTGCAACTACGAGCACCACATCCAGACCCTCATGCTTCCCTGACTAGCATTTCTGCCCTGTGTCCTGCATATAGTTTTCCCAGACTAAGATAACCAGACATCACTTTATGGTGTTTTCTCATTAAATGTCTTCGTGATTCCCTGTTTCTGACAAAGTCAACCTCAAACTCTAACCACAGTGCTTTTGATACCTGGCCTTACCCTACCTTAGCCATATTTTCATTGCAACTCCAAACATCCCCTTATTGTAGCCAGACCAGTTTTCCTGCTTTCCCACTGTGATATAGAACTTCTTATCTTGTCTCTGCCTTCCTCCATGAAGCCTCCCCTGAATAAATTAGTTTTCACTGGTCTCCCTTTCTTGAGCCTTTGTACTGAGGCAGTTTCACACATTTTTGCATTTCGTTGTGTGTTTTACACTAATTGTAAGACTTGTCTCATCATCTAGATTATAAAGGAACTTGAGGGCAGAGAGCTGACTGCAGTCTTCTGCAGTGTTGAGACTAGCCTGGAACATTAGGTGTTCCAAGAATACAGACTGATAAAGAAATGTATCTCCTTTGGATTTTGATGGCAAAGTCTATTCTTTCATGGTGACTAATCTGCACCCTGAGATTACATACATGGGCGAAGGACACTTAAATATGTATTTTTCTAAAATAAAATACATTGGTTATCTTGGAACCACGGATATGCTAATTTCAGTAAGTGGCGATAAGTTTCCCTGTCCCTGATACCCATCCTTGCAGAATCCTTGTATGCAATGTCTGTGGCCCTCAAAACTGCCATTTAGCATTTTCTTTATTTCCTAGTGGCACCCTCAGCCACTGCAGTAGAATTGCCCACTTTGGCTCTTACTGAGGGTTCTTGAGATACATGAAATACAGTGGGTGAGCTCTTATTTAATCACATATGATTTATCATCCGGAATGAACTCATTGCTGAACACGCCAAACTAAAGAGCATTTCCTTTCAGGTTTCTGCTCTAGTTGTCCAAAACTTTTCCAGACAGAGTTCACTGGAAAATAATGATTTAGAGACTTACACAGGGCTATTGGCAGCCAGATTCTAGGCTACACATCTTACTAACATTCTTCAAAATTCTTTAAATAGAGTCATTACCGTCTGTTAGGTTGTACAAAATGGCACTGGTTCCGGGTTCTAATATGCAGCTCTCCAGCGTCGGGCAGTGAACATGGAGGCAGTTGACATTGTCGTGAATAGGATCGTGGAAGAAGACAGCCAAGTTACAGGAAACTGTAAGGGAAACGGGCAAAGTACATCTGCAGATGGTTTTGGTTTCCACCAGTGTGATGAGCTCGGAGTAGAATTCCTTTAGGAATCCTGGATTCACAATATGTGGCAGGGCCATGTTCAGACATTTTACAGAATGTTATGAACTACTGTAACTGCTTCTATGTATATGGAAAATGCCTTTTGAAAAGAAAGTATCTACTGATATCCCCTAAGTAATCTTTCATACCTTTCATTCCACACAGGATACCTGGAATCATTATTTTCTAGTCCCCGTATTTTATGTTCATGAAAACTTCGACTAGCTATCAAAACCTCTAGGGGCTTATATATCAGGTTTGTAGGGGCAATGCCCTCTCAGAATGCTAAGGGACTGGGGATCACTGGAGAAAGAAATAGGAAAACGAAGGGATGAATGCTGTAGAAGGGGAGTAGGAAGGGCAAAGAGTAACTCCTGGGAGAGGTCCAGGAGCAGCAGGCCACGTGGGCGACCCCCTCGCCCCCGACTGCAGGTGCAAACCCCATCGGAGGACAAGCCTAGATGGTGTCCTCTACAGAGGCAGGGAGGAGGTAGGCAAGGATGTTAGCAGGTGGAATTCTAGGGGGTGGGGCACACAGCTGTCTTGTGCTGTCTCTCCTTTTCTAAGCAAGTTTGCTATTTAAAACACGTTCTCTTGTTTATGGGAAACCTGAAGTCACCTTTGTCAAGCACAGATGTTCAGTCTATCCTCCCCAAAGTGTAACACAGATTTTACTCCTGCTGCAGTGCAGTGGGACCACGTGATGTGAAATATCCATTGGCCAAAAGGCACTGACTTCTTTAACAAACTAAGATTACAGAGGGATGGCGCCTGACGACCAGGCCTCAGCGCACTAAAGCTCTGTGGAATTGCTGCCGGCAGATCCCTGCTGAGTCTGTGTGAGGGAGTTACATCTCCACCGCTACTTTCGGACATCCTCATGTTTCTCACTCTTTATTTTTCCGGAAGGAGAAGAATAGGGCAACGGTTAGTTAATAATACATTGCTAATACATTATAGTTTACAAATACATTCCCTGAGGACTATGCTGTAAAGTTTAAGGGAAAGGAATAATTTTTAAAAATTCAAATTTAAGACATTTAAATTTCTGTTAAAATAGTTGATTCTGTAGAGAACAATTTTGAAAGAAGTTTTACATTCCCTACGTAAATTTCAGAGTGCCAGCTCTGAGCAGGATTGTGGCATTTTAAAGTTATGGCTTTCAGTAAAAACTGGGCTGTGCCTTCCTGCTCGTTCTTGTTCTGAAGGAAGAAAGCCACACAACTTGGAAGTTACAGAGGCTCTAAAATCATGGGATTGTTCTGGATGATTACATGGGAGTGTCCCTGACAGTCCAGAGGCCACAGCTGCTCTGGTGTGGAGAGTCAGGTAGATTAGTGCCGTGGGGAGACTCAGAAACCGTACTGCCCCTCCCTCAGCTCCCCTCAGTGCAGGCGTTTGGGAGTCAGAAGCAATCAGAAAAAGATTCCCCTTTATTAAGTTAATTGTTCTCTTTGTGCCTGATAACTTTGGAGGCTTTGGCCCAAGACAGCTTCTCACATTGTGGTCTCTTGACAGTCTGTTTATATTCTCCAAGGAGCTCCAATTTTCATCTTGGAAATCTCACGTGCATAATTGGAAAAGAGGCATGGGCAATTAATAAGTTTGTGTCAAACCATGGACAGAAAGTGTGGCACAACCAAGGGTATTATTTTAAAGTGTGATGTTGCTTTTGTTGTTTCTTTTCAAGTAGCTTTAAAATCTTGGAAAAATGAAAAAGAAGTGAAAGAAGTCTTTAGGCAATTGTAACTTGAAATTCAGCAACAGTGAAATGTTTTACTGATTGCAGGCCTTGATCATATTGTCCTACACCCGGATTCTATATGACAGACAAAACATCTATTAGGAAAATTTGGAAATATGATTTTTTTTCTTTGACATATATCGCTATTTGACATATATCGCCTTATTTCTTTCAAAACATAAATCACACTCTAAATTCCTGTTCAATACATTCCACATTTGGTAACTCAAGCAAGCACATTTTAAAAATTTGATATGATACTAATATCACCAAAAGGTACTTTAAAAAGGAAATCATTATAAACATTTTCAAAATCATGTATATTATATTTTGGGCTGTAAAAATATTGTTAGTTAATCCTGGAGGAAATATTTTCATTTAGCACTTTGGTGAAGAAAGGATTCTCTGTTTCCTGCAGGTTCTATAGCATTCTGGGTCATTAATAGACTTGTAAATAGAGCCTACTTGGGCCCAGACTGCAAAGTCAGTTTCAATGGCCCTTCTCTCTCCTCCTCCCTCCCTCCTCCCTTCCTCATATGGGGTATTTTCTCTATTCCTTTTCAACTATTCACTGGCCTCTGCCTAGGAAACATTACTTAGGTCTTCAGCCTTGGAAGTTTCCTCTTATTTTTGCTCAAGCATATTGTTAATACTTACCATCCTTCCTAAGACAGCAGCTCCTACTGCACTTCTGGCCAGTGCTTTCAGAATAATACTTCAAGAACTGGGCTCCCAGCTTCTGAGACTCCTCCAGATTGATCAGAAGCCCCGGGAAGCGACGGATCCAGCAGTCTCTGTAAAAAATGGTGGGTGAGCAGAGAGAGTCTGATGTCCACCCCATGCTGAGGAGCAATATCACATCTGCTGCCACCGCTGCCGCATGCATTTCTCTGGGTGAAGGAAGACTCAGAGATAAGTCTGATTTCCAGGTAGAAGCTAAACATCAGAGTTTAGGACAGTCTTTGAAACTTCTGGGCTATTGCTAAGGGAGAACTACCTTGGGTCTTTTCTGGAGGGACACCGTCTAGAAAAATGAGGCCATTCTTTGCATATTGATTTTTCTTTTCTTTCTTCCCAGTTGAGCTGGAGGTGAACATTTGACTTTTTGCCGTTCTTTCTGGACACGTTCCAGGCGATTTCAATACTTTGTCCCTTAGCCTCTTGAAGACGTGGATTCTCTCCTCTGCTTTTCTTCTTTCTCTGAAAGTGAATAGTCACAGACACCTTTTGCTAAGTAAATATAAAGACAAGTGGAAATCCTACTCCAGAGTCTTTCTGAGGAAAACAATAGTTTAGTCACTTGACGTCAGATAAAGGAAGGATCCATTTCACTAGAAACAAGACATCTTTTTGTGAGGGCACTTGTGTATGGTTTTTAAAGAACTTGTGACTGCAGATTTTTAAAAAAATCATTTCTTTATTTCTTTGAATTTAAGTTCTGGCATTCAGGTTCCAAGAAAATCAGTTTGTACGCTGGTTTAGGTGTTTTTTTTTCTTACTAAAAAAAAGCCCTTGAAAGTAAATAAAATCCGAAAATAAAATAAAATTTAAAATTTTAATTTTGCAGTGATTGAGAAAACATTGAATATGGCTCCTAGTTACTTCTTGGGGCAGGTATTTTTTGTAAAGGCCAGTCACAAGCTTTCTTCTTGAAAGAAGAGTAAAGATTCTACCAAAAGAATACGCTAATATTGTAGATAGAATACAATACCCAGTAAGGTACATACTGTTCAACCAAGGACAAGAAGTGTAATTTACAGTGAAATTTGTGAATAGGTTCAAGGTGGGGGATTGTCTAATCTGTTTTCTGATTTTCACATTTGCAAGCTCTAAAGGAGACTTCTTCATGAAATAAATACATAAAGGCATAGTATCTCTGATTGAGACAGAAGTAAGTTGCTAAGAAATATGCATTAGGGAAATGGTGCAATGGTTTTAAATTTCTAAATATTAATAAAATCACTTCAATTGCAATGCCAAAACATTTGAAAAGGCAGTGAAAAATGTCCTCTTGCTTTTGTGAAGGTTGTGAGTTCCACCATGATGTCCAAGGTAACACATTAGTTCAAAGTATAGGACTGTTGCTTTTCTGTATCCATTTTTATATGAAGCATTAGTGATAATCAGCTTTTGCCATGAAGTACTGTTCCTTTAAAAAAAAAAAGATGAAACTTTTTCTAACCTGTGATCTGTGCTTCTTTTATACCTTTTTGTACAATGACTCATTCACCTCCTTAACACAAAAATGTTAACATTCTTTGAACTTTCATCTTTCCATCCGTTTCCTAATAATAGGCAACCTAATTATCACATATCTTTTGATTTTTAGAAACATACAATATTAACAATTGATAATGAAGAGGAAAATATTTAAGACTGAATAACTTTAAAAATGAAACATTTCACTTTCTTCTGAGCAAAAATTATATCATGCACTAATTCCTAAACTTGCATAAGCCACATAAAATACACTAAGAATGACAAATATTTCATTCTAATGAACTTCTTATAGAGAGCAAGTTTCAGTTGCTTACCTGCAAAGACTCGACTATTCCATTTGTTCTGAAGGGAAGAGAAATTTTCTAATGGCAAAGCATGGGACAGATGAGTAACAAAAAATTACTCTCTGTTTTTTGTGAGATTCTATAGCTATTTCTATTAGAAAATGCCCTTGAGACATAAACTGGAAGGTCTATTTTCTAATCTAATGATCTCTAAGTCTTTGAGTCACATTAAATGTAGCTTCTTTTGTGTAATATGTACTTCCTTGAAGTTCTCATGTTCCCTGCAGGAATAATGGAATAATCCACAATTGTTTAACCCTTTTGCTGCCAAATAATATGCAAATGGAGGTCAAAGTTTCATTTTAAAGGATCTACAAGTTCCAATGTGAAAGCATGCTTTAAAATTTTAAAAATATATTTTTGTGGTGATTGCATAAACATTAAGTCTGGAAATGGGTAACTTCTTGGGGCTAAGTATTTTGGAAAGGAATGGTAGAAACTGGAATGAAGGGGCATAGAGAGAAACCCACAACAGTGTCAAACTTGTCCTTGTGAGATGAAATTGCAGAAATCAGGAAGCAACTGCAACTTTAAGTCAAAAGTTGGCATACAGCCTTTGTTACAAATCTTATCAAATACCTAGAACCATTACACTTTGCAATGTGGTAATATATTATTAATATATTTATTTCCAAGAGGGTGCTTTTGAGAGGGTATCAAACATATGATTCATAACTTAAAAACCACTTATCTCCTCTGACAGCCTGATTCTGTAGCTCCTGGGGGTGTGGGGGAGGGACCAGGATTCTTATTTTTACAAGTGTCCCAAGTGATTTCTTAATATTTTTGGAAAACACTGCTATAGATGACTGAAATAAATGGAAGTTTTGCCTATCGAGTATGCTCAACTTGAATTAAATAGAGCCATTTTTAAGACCTTGTACTACTTTTATCTCACTTAAATCACTTTATAAGCTTTGACGAATGGAAGGCATTTCAGTTTTGCCTGCTAAAAAACAAAAAGAAATAAGGTTGTTTTAGAAAAATTGGAGGAACTAAAAAACCATAGATAAATAATTTTTAAGTGGTAGTGAAGTAATGGCATAGGTTTACTAAATTCAAAAGACATTTGGAAAATAGACAATATTTCATCCTTATTTTAAAATTGCAAATTATATTATTTACTTAACATTTCCATTTCATTTGTGATAAAATTAATGGATATTACTTTTTAAAATGGGGCTTCAAAATTTTAATCATGTCATTCATTTTTATTTAAAATTTTGTTTGCTCTTATTATAATAAATTGGTATATGTTCACTTTAAGAATCCAAACCATAGAGAAAAGTACAAAAGAAATAAAAACTATTCAACTCTTACAATCTTAACATCTTGGTAAACATTTTTCTGGATATTGCTACTAAAAAATATATAAAGTGTCAAAAGACAAAATTATAACAAATTTAGTTAAAGATCTTAATTGGCTTTTATTTGTGATTTTAGAATTGAGCAACACTTCATTCTATAAAATCTAATAAGCCCAGCAGAGGAGATGGGCATTATTGACAGAAAACAGCCAAGGAAAGCAGAAATGGAAAACAAAAAGCAGATTGCTCATTTAAAGTAACTTTTTTGCTAAAAGTTAAAGCAGAGAGCCCTTCCTTATCATCCTGGCTAAAACTGGCCCATTTGGGGATCTGGCTATTAGATTAGATCTTAGTTTAGGCCAGTGGTAAGGAACTTTAGCATGATTAACCTCATTTTGGTTTGGTCTCTTGGGTCTAGTGCAGGAGTCAGTTCAAACCAATGGCCTCCTATAAATTTTATTTAACAGTATATAGTTTTACCTAAATGGAAGCATACTGGTCCAGAATCTATCTTTTTTTTAAAAACAACTCAATATAAAATTTTTCAGTGCCTCTAAAGAAAGATCTACATTAAAAGTTATAATGGCTCTATGGTATTTCATTCTACTATACCAAAATGTACTCTGCAACTCAGCTTCCTCAGCTGTAAAGAATTTTTTTTTGAGACAGGGTCTGGTTCTTTTTCCCAGGCTGTTCTCGAACTCCTGGTCTCATGTGATCTTCCCACCTCAGCCTCCCGAAGTGCTGGGATTATAGGCATGAGCCACCACACCCTGTCATGCTGTGAAGTATTATAAAAATAGTATTGTAATCTTTGTAAAGCATGCACAACAGTGCCTGGCACATAATAAACTCAATAAATATTAGTTATTATACATTATATTGTTTTCCGTTTTTTTATTATTAAAAGCAATACTGTGATAAACATCTTGTGCTAAGATTTTTTTCACTTGCCAGGTCAGAAGGTATATTTTCCAAAAATTCTTTACAAACTTGCCTGTTTGACTATGACTTTAGTCTTTTTTAAAACAGATGGTGATATAAAGTGCTTGATCATAGTATCATAAAAGCCAATCTTTAGTATTCAATGATCAATGACAGATCTATAAAATTCTATCTCCAGTTATATAAAACAATGTTTTCATGAAGTTTGGAAATAATATAGTAGGTCTTTTCTAAATAAAGTAGTTTACATTGCTTTGACTTTGCATTTCTAGTTTAACAGAAAACTTACTGTGTAATTTATTAAAATGATTTGATCGTTTAAGATGCTCCCAGTCCTAAGTGACGTTATTGTCATGTTGGGAGCCAGAAAGCTTGCAGGATCAGTACCCAGTATTGTCGGACTAACACCCCAGACTCCCTGTCTGATCTGATTTTGGGCTGATAATATTACTGCACTTGAATTGCTTTTCTAACGCGCATCATTCTTTGAGCATCATTTTTCGGCCTGTTTTAAAAAGGCAAGAAAATACCAGTCTGAGGCATATCTATGACAGTAGGGAAACAAAAGCAGCCATTAGCAAAGATTCTAGAGACAGAGAGAGACTAAGAGCCTGTTCTTCATGACTGACCCACTGAATCTGGCATTTGTCACTAATTGAGGCACAAACAAATCCCAGGTCCAAGCCTTTTTGATACTGGGGCACCTTCCAGCAAAAGTCCCCCAGCCTAATGCCTAATACTAGATGTTATACTTTGCCTTCGCCAAGAGACTGCCAAATCCATGATCATTTCCCCTTCCTGCCAAAGCTTATAATGTCTCACTGCACCATCATTGAGAATGGAAGTGTGAGAGAGGTCTATGTGAAAATGGAGTTTTATCAGTAATAATTTAAAGGCCAGGTGGAACAAAGTGAATAGCTGGACATTTTTCACAGAATTCAAGAAAATAATTGAATTAGATCAGTCATAGATCCATTTTTGTTTCCTTCATTTTTTTCAAGGAGGCTGAAATCTACTAGAATTTTTTCTCTTTTAAATTTTAGTTCCTTATCCCTGGTGTATTATAAGGA